CATCATACTTGTCGTTGAAGTTGGCCTGAAAATCATTCAAAAATGAGGCGTATATCGTGTGAATTTATGAACCATATCAGTAAAAAGACAATATGGACGTGTATATCATCTGCATGAATCTTTTGATATACCTTGATAGCCTCCAGAATCTTGCTGAACTCCAACTTATCCTCATTCTTAACAGTGGTCAAGCAAAGTGCAGCCGCTGTTTTCTTGTGGAGAATCTGTGAGCACAGTAACATATATATATTTAGATCTTTCACGACAGGATTATACCTAATTCTTTCAAGAATACCAGAAAAATTACTGAGTTATACCGCTCCCAAGCGTGATTTCCCCTTCACAATGCAGTATGGGATCTCCATCTTCCTGCACAAGGCTGGAAGCCATACAACCAACTCGATGGGGTCCACATCATGAGCAATAACAACTAGCTGAGCCTTATTCTGTGAGACAGGAAACCATCTCATTGGTTAGCACAACTCATATGCATTTAACAAGATTCACTGGAAGGAACAAATCAATATGACGCATGCAGTGATAGATTAGCAACCTGCTCAATCAGGTAGGTTACGTGGTTGAGTCCATATTTCACAACAATTGGCTTCTTTGCCTCAACGGTTTTCCCTTCAGTTTCAGCTTGAGCTCTTTTCAGCAGACGTTCCTTCTTTGCTGCTTTGTCTTCAGGCCTGTACTTGAGCAACAACTTGAAGAGACTTGTGGCTGCAGGCAGTGTTACAAATATTGAGAACTCTTTGGCGGTAATGACTTATAAGAGTTTATCTAGAACAATAAATATTTGAGAACACAAGCATAAAAATCATTTAAATACTTCAACGAACACAATCAAAAGATAGCTCCACCATGTATGTTTCTTATACTAAAAACATGATAAAGATCACATGACAGAACATGAAGGGAATAGTCATTAACAACTCAAATCAGTAAGTTTAGACCTACAAATCCTTGCTTAAACTATCAATAGCATTATATGCCTATCTATGAGAAGGAATGCGGAATAAGTGTGACAGTGGTATAGAGGTAGAAAACTGTGTGCATTAAGAATAATACGTTCCTTTTGCAGTAGGAAATTAACTTATGTTCACCTATCCAACAAAACATTTTCTAAAGATGTTAAGAATCCAAGTATTCTGACCCCAAAAAAAAAGAATATAAGTATTTGGATAGCCTTGTTTAATCAAATCCATTTAAAACAATCCTAACAATTGAAATTACTCAAGCAGAAACTAGCATGATAGTCTGGTCCATACCAAGGTTCTTGTCCAGAGTCTTGGTGAACTGGTTAAGTGCTGGTGGGACCTTCAAGCGTTGCTTAAGGATCCTCTTCTTCCTTTGGATACGGACAACCTTGGGCCATTTCACAAATCGGTGCAAATCTCTCTTTGGAGGCAAAGCACCGCCGATCCCAAACTGCTTTGTACGCTTTTCAAATAATGGGTTCACAACCTTCTCCTAAAGACAGCAATGAAAAAAGACATTCAAACACTTGATAACAGACAACAAACTACAACCAAATTTAAGTTTACAAGTCAATGTCGTAAATAAAATAAGAAAACGAAGAGCTATAGGAAATACAGTTTTCTTCTTTGCTGCAGCGGCCGGTTTTACACCTCTTTTGGGAGCCTGCAAAACGAAAGAAAATGAGACAATTGAAACAAACAAAAAGTAGCCAATATCTAAGTATGTCACAAATTTAATTGGGGTTACAACACAATTACGTTGAATAATTGATACACCAACAATCCCATCCCACAAGTGTTTACAGAAATATTGAAGTCAGCCTTACATTTATGGATCTTCCCAACAATAAAGGCTAAAAGCAAGCTTCTTAAACAAACAAGATAAGAGGTGGGGATAAAAAAACCAACACTCAAATCAGTTTAATTGGATGAAGATATGAGTGAGAGATATAGAACAGAGCCGCATAATTTTTCTAGTTTTACATAATGCATCAAATGTGAAGAAGAAGAAAAATATTCCATCCATCAACTAATGAGCTTCATCAGTTTAAATTCAAATGAACAAACACCAGGATTTTACAAATGAAATCTTATTCCAATCCCATGAGATTTTATGAAATTCTACATTTCACGCCAACAACAGAAATCATCAAAGCCACAAACATACAAGTCAAAAACAGTTGCTCGCAGTGCAGCATAAGATTCAAGCATGCATAAAAGGATGAAGATAGAATTAGGGTTTGCAGTATACCATTTTCGGGTGGTCAAGATCTTCAGTGGCCTTGGGGTTTCTGGAACGGCGAATGAAACCCTAAACTAAGCTGGAGCTCACGAGTGGCGCTAAGTGTGGACTATATATAGGTGGCCCTTTTCCACATTCTGGGTTTTGATTCGAATAGTTGGATCCGACCCGATCTTCCTGCAACTATGGGCTTGAGTTTATGTTGATCTTTGGACAAGCCGCATTGTGGGCCTTACTTTTTCTTTTTTAATTCGGCCTCATTTGATGTTGGTCCGACCCGAAATACAATTCGTTATCCAAAAACATGGGCGCTCGCGGGTCCCCGTGGCCCTCAAAACATGAAGTCGGAAATTCAACAACTGTACATGTGTAAAGAGCAAACATCAAGTACGATGAAGACTGCAGTGCAAGTGTTTTCTCTTAGGTGGACCGTGGAAGTATGTTATATTTAGACCGACCGTGGTTATTTGACTCTTATAACTTGTGATGAAACACTAATGCGTTCTTAACTAAATATTATGATATTGTCTTGAACACTGCATGCACAGTCTAGACTTGTGTGTGATTTAATGAGAGTTCTCCTAACTTTGCCTAATTAGAAGGTTGTCGTATAAGTAATGCGACAACAACTCATGTTTCGGTGCTTCTTATGAGATCATGGAAAAACCTTCAAAACTCAACATCACTAAAAAGAACCTCATCACCATAGCTTATGAGAGCTCTGCCATACTTGGCCTCCATGGCGCTTTGCATAATACAAATTATATTCTTCTAGGGAAAAAGTAAAAATGGAGCAATAGTTTATCTCAAAATGTCTATGAACCCAATACGTTCAAATTGTTTAATATTCGAAAATAGTTATTTCAAAATATGTATGCCACGATAAAAAATATATTATTCTTTTAGTTGGGAAACATATTGTCTAATAAAAGTAGGACAATGTTTTATCAGGAATCATTCCTCCTCAACACATGATATGACCTCCTTAAAAAACGACACTTGTATCTTTTAATTATTATTTTTGTTTCACCGACTCTCTCTCTCTCTCCTCCCCCTACCATCTCCTATCATCTCTCCATCTCTATCTCTTCCCCCACAATTCTTTAGAATAAATTTTAAGCCTCGTTCTCTTCTCGATCGCTGCCATTTTCCATCCTTGGCATCAACGTCGATCACCATCTTCCATCTCCGCATCACCTCCCCCTCCTCCATTCCCCGTTCTCTCTCCAATCAGTCTTCCTCCATCATCATCATCACCCAAACACTATGTATTGATTTCTCTCCTTTCTAATTTTATTGCATTATTTATTGGGGAGTTCTATAAATTTTGGGAATGATGGAAAAACAAGGTACGACTTTGGGGGAAAAAATTCTCTAGCGTCACTCTCTCTCTTCCATGTATGAGTTGCAGGGAAAGAGATGGAGAGATGAGAGAACATAGGAGGAGAGGAGATTGGGTGAAAAAAGAGAGAGAGAGAGAGTTGGTGAAAAAATAACAAAAACAAAAACAAGTGTTGTTTTGTAAGAGGCCACATCTTATGTTGAGAAGGAAAGACTCTTGATATCATGAGCCAAACATCGTCCATAAAAGTAAGGTTTGAATATGTTACCTGCATCCCAAATTTTAAATAAATGAATACATGGTAGAGGTGTTTTGTATATGTTGATGTGAACCGATATTATAGCAACCTTGCCTTTTCCTCGTGATTTTTACATGCATGAGCCAACTGCCTAATTGAAGAAACTTATTGAGCCTTTGATATGAAATGAATCCATGAGTGTTTGTTTGGTTTATCATTTATATTAATTAAATTCACATATAAATGACTTGTAAAGTACTAGTTTTCGGGAATTTGATTGAATGGGAATGGATGAGAATCAACATTGAAATAACAAGTGGGACCGAGTTAAATCCCCTTTATTTACATTCATATGCTGTTGTCACATGCTCTTATGAACAAATTGGAAATCTAATATTGACCATGCTTAAACTCAGTTATTCCAAACTTGTTCTAAGAAAATAATACAATTTTATCGTTATAATTTTAGTCAGTAGAGTGTTACAGTCAATCTCTCATGCACATATACTTATAACTATGTGTAGATCTCAAAACAAAAACACACAACAAGTAATCAATTTGATACCCACCCACGCGCGCGACTAACGCTAGCATTTTCCTTTGAGGCAATAATACTAATTTAATTTCTCAAACGATGCTATGAACATTTGTTAGCAAATCCACCTTTGCAAAACAAGGGGATATATGCCTCCTTATGAACTAGAACCAGCCACATAGCCAATGGGCAATACGACCAAATCACATTGGACACGTGGCAAAATTAGCTTTGTTTGTACGTACGTACCCACTGAATTTCTTTTTGGTGGAGAGAGAGAGAGAGAGAGAGAGAGTAGCTGACTAGCTAGTAGTAGTAGTAGTAAAAAGACAGAAGCCCGCTCTCAAAAATTTGGCATGAAATTTTGAAACCCCCACCAAACCCTCCCTCGCTTTATATTTCCACAGCCCGCCCGAAATCACCCCGAAAAATTAAAACCCCCCAATTTCAATTCCCACCAATTTCACAACCCCAATTTCTAATTTTTAAGTTCACTTATCGTCTTTCTCTTAGATTTACATACCTGTAGGCTGCTCATAGGCCCCTCCCCTCAGCTCCCAGCTCTGTGATTTCTAGGGTTTCCATTTCCCAAAACCACAAATCTAGGGTTTTAACAATTTTTTTTGTCCAATTCTCGATCTGTACTTGATTGCTCCGTACCCATGGCGACCGAAGCCCTAGAGGACAAGAAACCGGAAGACGAAGCTCCTCTTGAAGAGAAGCAAGAGGCTGAAGCCGAAGTGGAGCCTAAGGAAGAGCAAGAAGAACAAGAGAAAGAGGAAGAAAAGGAGGAAGAGAAGGAAAATGTTCCGGAAGCTTCGGAGAAAGTGACTGAAAACGAGGAAGAGCAAGTTCGTGAAGAAGGCGAAGAGGAGAAAGAGAAAGAAAGTGAAGAAACTCCGAAGAAGGCGAAGAGGGGCCGAAAAACTAGCTCCAAAAAGGAGGAGAAGGACCAGACCGAGCCCAAGAGGCGGGGCCGAGACTCGTCAGGGAAGAAGTCGAGTAAAGAAGCTGAGGCGGAGAAGAAAGAGAAGGAGCCGGTAACGCCGGTGAGTGAGAGGCCCACAAGGGAGAGGAAAATAGTTGAGCGCTACTCAGCTCCTGAGAGTGGAAGGTCTTCGGCGAATAAAGCTTTGAACATTGAGAAGGTATGGTGGTGAGAAATGGTGCCTTCTCATTTCATCTTTGTCGAATTTTTGATAGCCTAATTTTTGTTGATTTGGTTTTTGTAATTTCAGGGTCGCGGTACAGAACTTAAGAACATTCCAAACGGTATGAGTTTTTTTTTCTTCCGTTTTTTGTTCTTGCTTTTGATAAATTAGTTATTGTTAAATTTGTTGTCAGTATGGTTCAATTGCTAAAACGGTTAATATTTTTGCATGTTGGTTTGCCGTGACACACAATGTCAGTGGCACTGAATGTTCTCTGGCCTTTCTGAAACTGACCCAAAATGGGTTGCTATTTGTTTTAAGTAGATCTTTCATGTTTCCTTTCATTTCATTGGCATAGTTATGTTTTTGCGTACCAATTTGGTGTTGGTAGTACTATTGAATCTAGAGTCCTCACAAAGGATCTTGGATTTAGGTGTTTGGCACTTGTAATGTGGTGGCTGCTTTAGTTTTACTAGTTCTGAAGTTAGAACATTACCTGTGGGCTCGTAATTCATATATTGTTTTACCTGAACTCGCGTTTTAATGTGATGCTGGTTCTGTATCCATGACCGTCCCAGTTCTGATGGACTACTGGAATACATTTTATCTTCCAATTAAAGAACCACTTCTAAGAGCACTCCTTTTCCATGATCAATCCTTTTCATTTTTTCAATGTGTTTTGGTATTTCACTGCATCATTATTGACAGTCTAAGTTTGGAATTCTAAAGCCTTATGTAGTTGATACCCATCTTCTCAAAGTAGTGGCTTTTTTGAGTTGAACTGGTGTCAAATGCAAAGACTAAGCCTTATGTTGTTGTAATACCAAATATTCATATTGAAACAAGGGACTGGAGCTTGTACCCATGAATTAGAATACTAAAATGATTTTAGTTCTGAATCCAAATTATGGAACACCACTGTGCATTCAATCTTATTTACATTGCTCTTGGTGTTATAGCTGAAGTGCGACCTGAAGTTGGATGATTTAGTGGCAGTTATGATCTCTATAGTTTATTTTGACACGGTTCTAATTGGTTATTTTCTTTAGCTAGATGTCACAAATTTTCACATGTAGGATTACTGCACGTTGAGAGGTGGAAAAAGTATATAGCTCTTGTTTTTGGAGAGAAGTATATAGCTCTTGTTATATGTGAATTGACTATGCAGACAAAGTGTTATTTACTTCTATTAAAATTTCTTGTTACAGCAGCCTGGCCTATTTTTTGTCTGATATTGTGAACTGTTTCAGTGGCTTTCAAGTTGTCAAAGCGAAAAATTGATGACAACCTGCAATTACTTCACACAATTCTCTTTGGGAAAAAAGCAAAGGTTAATTTTTGGTCAAATTTTTTATTCAGTGATTTCAGGTGCTTTGCACTCATATTATCTGGTAGATTTTTCAAATTTTATTTTTCTTTTCTTGTAGTGTGTTTTAATTGGTTATGTTCTTGCGCAGGCTCATAATTTGAAGAAGAATATAAGTCAGTTTTCAGGTTATGTGTGGACTGAGAATGAGGTATTGTATGTTATGTGTGCTCACCTTAATCAAATTTTATTATTTGTGAGACTTCTTCTTGTATATTCATGCGTACAATATTATACTAGAGCCTCTGTTGTATTCATCTTTATTTTTCTGTTTTCAGCAGGAAAAACAGAGGACAAGGGTAAAGGAGAAGCTTGATAAGTGCGTTAAAGAAAAGTTAGTGGATTTTTGTGAGTTTCTTAATATTCCGATTAAGGCTGGTACAAAGAAGGTCAGTGTGGTAATTTTTATTTTATTTTGTATAGTGTATGAAAAATTGATGGGTGACCCCTTATCTCATAAGCTGGGCTTACAGGAGGAGCTTTCTGTTAAGCTATTGGAGTTTTTGGAATCCCCACATGTCACAACTGATGTTTTGCTTGCTGAAAAGGAACAGGTTCTATTTCTTCTTTTTCTTGTTATTTTTATTTATTTTGAAAGTGTTGTTTGCTTGCTCTAAGTTCAATTGTTGTGGTTTTTGTTAAACCATGTTTCTTGTCTGCGTTTCAGAAAGGGCAAAAGCGGAGGAGGAAGGTTACACCAAGTAAGATGGCAGGTTCTGGAGAAGCATCACCAGAAACATCAGCCAAGGTGCGTCTTCATTAGTCAAAATGAAATTGGAAATTTTTAAGAATGATTTTTCCTATCTGGAGTGCATTTGTGATGCATTAGTTTCCTTAATTCATTGTTATCTTATACACATGGCTCCCTGCTTCAAATGCATATTTTTCAACACTTTTGTTATATGTGCTTATGCCCAAGCTTCTTCTCCCAGAAAAAAAAAGCCTCAAATGATTTACTTAATCTTGTTTGCTTTTAATTAGATGATAGGATTTACTTATTGAGTCTTCTCTGTATTCTTATTGATCAGTTTTTTTATTTATTTTTATTTTAATTTTTTAAAAACTCTTAATGTGATAGCATTTGCAGTGGAGTCCTAGAATTGATGATGTATTGCAATGTGTATGTGTGTGCCAGTGGGTCATGCAGCACGATCCATTTTGTATTGTGACTAAAGTTTTGTAGTCTTACTTTCTGCCTTCTTTGTGCTTAGAAACAAAAAGAAATACCCAATGTTGAAAAAAAGCAGGACTCATCCAAGGCTGAAGAAGAGGAGGGCGATGACAATGATGAAACTTCAGATGCAAAGGACAATTCTGTTGGAGATGATGATCATAATACGATGGATGAGGATACAGACCATGAGGATAAATCCGATGAAGAGCAAGACGAACCAAAGGACCAGGTCTCAAGTCCAAAAAGTTCATCCAAAAAGGTTGTAAAGGAGGGATCAAAGGTTAAAGCTGGGAGCAAAGCAACACCTGCTAAGAAGAAAACCCCTGCAAAATCTGTGAAAACACCTACGGATTCTGCAAAGAAATCTAGTTCTACTTCAAAAAGAGGTGCAAGTGATGCCGATGGAGCTTCTGGCTCACAGACTAAAGCAAAGCGATCTGCAAAGAAACAAAAGACTGAAAAGGAAAGCCAGAAGGATGTCAAGGAAAAAGCCAGTGGCAAGAAACAGTCGAGCAAGTCCCCGGCCAAGGTTTCGGCAAAGGATCAAGGTGATTTGCTTTTGCCGTGGATTCTTCCTACTTATTTTGATACTTTAATGTTTTTACTTTAAGGCTGTTCATGAAATGCTTAATTCTCCCAGAAGTTTAGGAGTGTCTCTTTTAATTGTATCAATTTCTTGCATGAGCCAGCGAAAGGAAAAACTAGCAAGAAAGCAAAGGCAGAGCCCACGAAAGATGATATGCATGCAGTAATTGTGGATATTCTGAAAGAAGTGGACTTCAATACTGTAAGTGACTATTGCAACAATACATTGAGTGGATGGTTGAAGTTATGTGAGTTATATTATTTAATTTCCGCATTTTCTCTGTGCAGGCAACTTTATCAGACATTCTCAGGCAACTTGGTAGGGCTTCTTTCTATCTTCCATGATTTCTTTTTTCCTTTCATAATCTTCGCTTACACTTAGCTAACTGCAAAACTGTAATTTACTTAGGTACCCACTTCGGTATTGATTTAATGCATAGAAAAGCAGAGGTGAAGGATATAATTACAGAAGTAATTAACAATATGTCTGATGAGGAAGATGAAGGGGATGAAGCAGAGGAGGAAGCTGAAGCTGGTGATGATGCCGACAAAGATGAAGAAAAGGACGACAACGACGAAGATGATGCTTAGTTCATAGTAGGCCAGAGCTTATACGTGACTGTTGCAGAAATTGTGCCATACGGCGGCATTCACCAGTTCATATCTTTCTACAGAGGTGTGTGTCATCAGCAGTTTTTAAGAACCGATAGGATTGCCTTAATTTTCAGATAAATATACCCAGCTGGGTGTGTTTGTACCATATTATTTTAACCTCTTTTGTAGTGTTAATCTGACCTCAGATTCATATGTTAGGTTTGTTTACTTCTTTTTAAGTTAAACCCCCCTCCTATAAAAGTTGTTTAGCTGTAGCCATGACTTGATTTTCATTATAAATGAGTAGTAAGTGGGTTTTTTTCCCTTAATTGTTTTCTGTTCTTTTTTCGACTACAATAATTGCAATTTGATTTAGCACGAGGGTTACTTATTTTGGAGCCTAGATTTTGTGGAATTAACAAACTGTCCCACTAAATTTTGAGGAAAAAAAGATTAAAACGAACTAATTAGTGATTATTAAAACGAAACTTACTGGCATCTAAATCAACCTATAACAATTTAAACATTTACGGGTTCCTTTGGGAATGCTTCTTTAGGAAGCGCTTCTACCAAAAGTGCTTTTATTATAAAGATGCTGAAATTTTCATAAGAAATAGAAGTGTTTCTTAGAAAAGTACTTGGGTGTGTTTCTTGAAGAAGCACATGACCGGTGCTTTTTCAGAAAGCGCTTTTATGGCTTAAAAGCACTTTTAAACATTTATGCCAAATGATATTAGAAACGCTTTTGGTTGTCAGAAAACGCTTTTAACTATTCTAGAAGTACTCCAAAACGGGGCCTACATTACATGATCCACTGCAAGTAAAAAGAAAATTAAAATTGAATAATTTTATAATGATTATCATAAAGGTTGTTGGTTAAGGAGCTTGTAGGTTTGTATTAAAAAAATAGGTGCTTATAGTTCAAGTGATTCAGAATATTAGTAGGAGCTTGTAGCTCAAAAGAAAATGAAATGATGATTGAGATTTTTGCTTTTTTCAATACGGTGATAGTTAAATAAGTTGGGTATTCTTGTTTGACACTAATCAGACATGTTTATTATTCGTATAATCGTATTTAACAAGTTGTGCTATTAAGCATCATATCGAGTTTGAGTCGTATTTAACCGTCATCCCTTCCCTATTGTAAGGAAAGAAAACACATTGGCATGGTAATATTCTAAATTTCTGTTTCTAAAAACAGAAACAATAAGGTATTTCTTGACTAAAAACAGTATTTTTGATTTTATTATTCTTTTAAGAAAGTAAAGGCGAAGGACAGAAGGACAGAAGGACAAAGGGACAAAGGGACAAAAAGGACAATAGGAGAGAGGAGTATTGAGATATGATTTGAGAGTTTTTTTTAAGGGAGTTTCACTAAAACACCTAAAATGGGGGCTGAAATTATAAAAAAACTTAACATCCAAAACACTTTATAAACACACCAAAAACCCATCATTACACAATCAAAACCAATTTATAAATACACCCAAAAAATATACAATTGTTGATTTTGGGTGTGTTTCTATGTTTAAATAGTATTTGAGTTTTTTTTTTTATAAATACATGTTTAGAATTGGGTTTATTTATAAATTTGTATTTTTTCAATTGAATAGTGTAAAATGATTTTTTAAATGTATTTTCTTTTAATTTCAGTCCTCGTTTCTTTTTATTTTGTATTGTCAAAATTAACCTTTTTGAGCTAACAAGCTGTTTCTGTCTGCTTTTATTATCTGGTTTCTGGGCCATAGAAACAGCTCCTCTGATACACATCCCTTATTTTAAGGGGGAGTTAATATCTGGGCCCAGAATTTCATGCACATTGTTAATTAACCCTATGTTACTCAAAGTTGATTGAAAAGTCTCATCCAACTTGGTAAATTTTGTATTTAATACCCATTCATAAGGTCCAATAATGGGGTAATGCATTTTTCTTGCAAGTTTCTTAGGCATGCATTTTTCTTGCAAGTTTCTTAGGAGATTGTGGACTTATAGCGTCTGTGATAGAACATTTAACTCTATACTAACCACGAGAGCTTGATTCGAAATTGATGCGGATTTCAAAGCGGTCTCTTGATTACTATTAGTAAGAAGATAATATTCCAATCCAAATCTAATGCTAACTTGTAGCTGTGAGATTTAGGGATTAGCTTATGGTTAACCTCAACCTAAAATCTAGGGGAACCTTCTGACTTCTGTGTGATTGGCTAAAACTTGTAAGAAAGCCATTGTCAGCTGTATGCAAATAGTACTTGTTTTATGATGATCACTCACTTTTCTTCCAATTCCAATTAAGGTCAGAAAGTTCAGATATTATGGCCATGAAATTCATATAAATCTTATTCTAATCAGTAATTTTGTGTTTAAATATTTAGAGCAAGTATACCAAGCAACCTAATATATATATTTTGGAGGCCTAACACACCAACCAAACCCCATCATCATCTGATTCTAATCATGTGCTGGTAACATTTTGGTTCACTGGCCAGTACCCTACCGCAGCTCATATGAGCTTTAGCACATTCTGCAGATAAAAACACCAATCTCCAATACATATACTTCATAAAATCTTATTAATTTAACAATAAAAATAAAGGGTCTGTCAGACTGTCGGAGGCTAAATTTCTTGTTCATGAGAGAGGGGCTATTCCACTAAAAGAGCTTTGCGTATGAACCCCAACCAATTAGACACGTGAAAGAAAACCAGTCTCTTTCATGCTGCAGAGCTCTTTGCCAACCAAAACAATTTTAATGTTTGAAGTTTTTTGTCTTGCTTTTTTTTCTTTTTGGGGTTTGGTAGAGAAACAAGAAATCCATTACTAGTTATAATTAAAATACAGAAATTAGCGACACATCACATCAGTTTCAACCAAAACTCAGAGCTACAAAGCATTTCCCCAGCTGCTCCCTGTATAAATCAAAACACCATCCCAAGAGAGAATTGCAAATCTGAGTTTTTCATTCCAACCATTATTCCTCGTATCATCGATTGCAGCATTACAGGTACGCTTCAAAATATTCCTTTTTTGTTTGTTTGTTTGTTTGTTTGTTTTCCTTTTTTCCTTTTTTGCTTTTAAAGTTCAAGTTCTTGGTACATAATATTAACTATATTCAGCTCATTTTGTAATTTGCATGTATTTATATGATTTGGAAATTGGCTGATCACCTAAATTTCTCTTACTTTTCTTTGAACTGCTTTAGGTGTTTTCTGTGATGGCGGATATCAGTGGCAAAGCCTTTGAACTTTCTGTAAAGAAAGAAGAACCAACTTTGGTGCCTCCTGCAGAAGAATCAGAGAAGGGCCTGTACTACCTCTCAAACCTGGACCAGAACATTGCGGTCATCGTTCGTACCATATACTGCTTCAAATCGGATTTAAAAGGGAATGAAGAAGCTGTGGAGATCATAAAGAGTGCCCTGTCAAAGGTTCTTGTTCACTACTACCCTTTGGCAGGGAGGTTAAGTATCAGCACAGAGGGGAAGCTGATAGTGGATTGCACAGGAGATGGTGCTGTGTTTGTTGAAGCTGAAGCAAACTGTGAAATGGAAAAGATAGGTGACATAACAAAGCCTGATCCTTTGACTCTTGGGAAGCTGGTTCATGATATCCCTGGTGCCAAGAACATACTTGAGATTCCTCCCTTGGTTGCTCAGGTTTGAGTTTCCGAAATTTTTTCATGCGTTCTTCTTTCAGTTTTGAGAACAGTCTACTCACCACCATTGATATAGCATACCATCTTACTCAAGGATCGTCGTGTCTTAACAAAAACTATAATTAGTTTTTGATACACTTGTTATAACTTGGAGTATAAGAAACTGTCAAGAGAGCTACTATTGCTGATCTTTGATATAACCAGACCTTTTTCTAACCAAAACGAACAAAAAGAAATTCTAAGGTGATTGTTTAATCAATTTCAGGTGACCAAGTTCAGATGTGGAGGATTTGTCCTTGGGCTATGTATCAACCACTGTATGTTTGATGGGCTTGGGGCAATGGAATTTGTGAACTCATGGGGTGAGACTGCTAGAGGCTTGCCACTTAAGGTCCCCCCATTTCTAGACAGAAGCATACTTAAAGCCAGAAACCCACCTCAGATAGAGTTTCCACACAATGAATTTGCTGAGATTGAAGATATATCTGATAACACCAAACTCTATGAAGAAGAATTGCTATATAGGTCTTTCTTTTTTTACCCTGAGAACCTTGAAAAGCTCAAGAAAATGGCCATGGAAGATGGGGTTCTTGACAAGTGCACTACATTTCAAGCACTCTCTGCCTTTGTCTGGAGAGCTAGAACTCAGGCCTTAAGAATGAGACCAGATCAGAAAACAAAGCTTCTTTTTGCTGTCGATGGGCGCTCAAGATTTGAGCCACCAATACCAGAAGGGTTCTTTGGGAATGCAATTGTGTTAACAAATTCACTGTGTAGTGCAGGGGAGCTATTGGAGAGGCCATTGTCATTTGCTGTTGGGCTAGTTGATAAGGCAGTTCACATAGTTACAGATAGTTATATGAGGTCTGCCATAGACTACTTTGAAGTAACAAGAGCCAGGCCTTCTTTGTCTGCAACTCTTTTGATCACAACTTGGTCTAAGCTAGCTTTCCACTCTACTGATTTTGGGTGGGGAGAGCCTGTGCTGTCAGGGCCAGTGGGTTTGCCTGAGAAGGAAGTAAGTTTGTTCCTTTCTCATGGGAAAGACAGGAAAAGCATAAATGTACTTTTGGGTCTGCCAGCTTCTGCTATGAAGACATTTGAAGAGTTGATGCAGATTTAAAAAGGAAAAGTTGGCCAGGTTAAGGAGGAGAAGCAATAATCATAATCCCAATTCAATTTACAAAGTGAAGAAAGAAAGAAAGAAATCTTGATAATGAATAAAAGGGTGGTAGAACTTGCAAAGTTTGTTATGCATATGTTTCATCTATTTTCTTTGTTTCATTTTAATGTGTGGTTTGTATGGTGAGTATATTATACATATGTTCAGCAGTTCATCAAAAGGACATGAAGTCAACTTCTAAATCAGGTTTTGTTGGGTTGCGTAACTACCAAGTGCTTGTAATGATGTCTAACACTAATTCATCATAAATCATCAACAATAACTAGGAAACATTGACTTGGGTGTACTAATATTTAAACTGTCTTTGTGATAGTTAATTACTTAGTCAGTTTGGGTGTGAACATTTGAGCTTTAAGTTGTGAATCATTACTTGCAGTTGATTTATGAAATAATAGAAAACAAGGATTCATGTTCATTGCAATGCAACTTAAAATCACAAACCAACAGTTTTGATATGTAGGGCGCCAATCAATTACAAGCCGATTTTGCAGTAGAACTTCAAATTTACCTTTTCTATAGTCTGCAAGAAGGAGATCATGTGGCATGGTACAATCCAAGTTCCAAGTTCCAACCCTAGAAAAATTTCAGATCCTTTAGGGCAAGTTTGACATTTCTGTGCTGTGAAAATAATTGCTGCCAGATTTGCTGTGAGAGAAAACAGTTTGGCGTTTGGTAAACTTTTTGTTAAAGTGTTGTTGGTACTGATTCCTGAATAATCATTATATCTAGTGCTCCTTCAAAACTGATTCCTGCATAATCAAAAAATGAAGTACATCATTAGCTACTTTCCTTATAGCTTTCTCTCACATCAACTTTTAACAATAAGTGATTTTATTATAATTTACCAAACGGGATGGGCTTCCTAAATTTTTTAAAAAAATCACTTTTCAAAAATATGATTAGGCTTCTTCGTCATGTACAATCCATCCAAAACGAAGTACTAATCTTCCATCCAAAGCTGCACCATAATTAAATAAATTTGGAAAGTGATAGTATAGGAGATAAAATGATCCCATAATTTATTCAAAAGTCGATAAAGGGTGAGATTAAAAATTACATTTTGCCAAATTTTCATCAAAATTTCATGTCTCTATTTTAACAAACTCGTTGTGAATAGAAATTGGGCCAACCCAGTAATCTGGTTCTTATGAACTCAAAACATCAGCCCTTACTGGCCCGGCCTACTCTTCCTGGCCAGCAAACTGGGCCTTGAAAATCATTGTTTTAGAGATCCAATACAAACTTCATGACGACTGAGTCTGAAGTGCCCCGCAGTATTGTTTTTGTTCTTCTTCCTGGTTCGAGATTCATGGGTCCAAAACCAGGTCACCCAAGTGGAGGCTCTGCAGCTTAAACTCCCGCCATCGTTCTAATATTATATCTATTTCCTTCTGCTCCATCAATACAGCCACAAACACCATTGGCTTTTTCAAGCAATATCATATACACACGAGACCAAATGCCTTCACTGCGGCATTTTCACAAACACCATACATTCTTATAGCTGTCATTGCTTCGCTTTATTCTAACAATATGTTTGTGAGAAGATACTGGTCAGTTGGGTCGTGGTCAAAGGATCAGAAGCGGTTTATGACCACCAGTAAGCGGGTGCAAGACAGAAGCAAATTGAAGAGGGTTCATGATCTTGAGATTGTCACTGAGAAATGGAAGATAGCATCCAAAGTGCTCTTCTTGATGGAAATTCTTAAAAAAGAGCCTGAAATGATCATTCCCGTTAGGTCATTGGATCAGTACCGCAGCCAGATTAGTCTCCCAAAACCTCATCGAGTGTCTGATTTTATTCGGAAATCGCCGAAATTGTTTGAACTGTACAAGGATCACAGAAGGGTTTTATGGTGTGGGATGACCAAGAAAGCTGAGGACTTGGTAGAAGAGGAGGATAGGATACTTGAGGAACATCAAGATAAGGCTGCTGAGTATGTCACTCGTTTTCTGATGATGTCTGTTGATAAAAGGCTTGCTTTGGACAAGATTGTCCATTTTAGGAGGGACTTTGCTCTGCCAGTTGATTTTAGGACTGGTTGGGTGCACAAATATCCCCAACACTTTAAGCTGGTTAAAGATGAGGAGGGGCTTGAGTATTTGGAACTTGTTAATTGGAACCCTGCTTGGGCTATAACAGAGTTGGAGAAGAAGACAATGGGGATTACCGAGGCCAGTGAGGATCATACGCCGGGCTTACTTTCGATCTCTTTTCCTTTGAAGTTCCCTCCCAATTACAAAAAGGCATACAAGTATAGAGGAGCAATTGATCATTTTCAGAAAAGGTCTTATTTATCTCCATATGCAGACGCTAGGGGACTCAAAGCTGGGTCTAAAGAATTTGACAAGAGGGCAGTGGCTATTATGCATGAGCTGCTTAGCTTTACTGTTGAGAAGAGATTGGTGACTGATCACCTCACTCACTTTCGACACGAACTTGTGATGCCCCAAAAGCTTATGAGACTTCTTCTGAAGCATTTCGGCATCTTTTATGTTTCGGAGAGGGGGGAAGAGATTTAGTGTCTTCTTGAAAGAAGCTTATGAAGGATCAGAGCTGATTGAGAAAAGCCCTCTGGTGCTATGGAAGGAAAAAGTCCAGAGCCTTATTGGTTATAGAGGGAAGAAGAAGATAGAAACTTTAGTGATATGTCAGACATGGAAGACAATGGTTTCGATGAGAGCCAATCCGAAAATGAGGACATTGACTTGCAAATTGAGCAAGAGGAGACAGAGAGTGGCATGGAGGATGATTCACTTGGAGATAATTCTGAAATGGACATTGATGAGGTTTGCAGTGCATATGAGGATAATACTAAAAGATGTTAAGGTCCTCAAAATTTGATATTGTCAAACAGGTTCCGTCTCTATATGTGCTAGACTGCTAGTTGTACATCCTAGTTTTTCTGTTGTGTGAAATGATCATATCATAAATTTGGAAATTGGAACGCGGAACAAGAATGTGTGCCTGATACAGAATGAAAAAGCAATGTAGAAAACTCTCAAAAGTATACTAGTATGCTGATACGATACGATATACGTAAATCTCTCAAAAGTAGAATATGGATACAGTACCAATATGATGATTAAAATAATGTAAATATAAAATGATAAATATATAAACATATATATGTAAAATTATATATATATATATATATATATATATATATATAGAAATGAAGGATAAAAAAACGATAAAAGGATAAATATTATAGAGTTATCTGAACACATGTCCAAATACAAAAAAGTAATTTCACAACACAATAAAATACAACTTCATAAGAGCAGTCAAGGGAGAGGAAAATTATATGTGGAGTTATTTTTTTAAAATAGAGAAACAAAGTAGCGTGTGGACTATGGAGGCACGTAGATTGTGAGGTTTTTGCTATGACTTATGACAAGACATAAATTCTATATAATAATCACATTTATCTATGATCAGTGGCAGACCTATTAAGGCATAAGGAGGTGCAACTGAACCTTCTCTTACCTGAAAAATCATTACAGGTGCTTCAAATTGCCCATTTGCTTAACTGGTGGTTTTTTTTAAGTAAATGTCTTTGTTCTTTTACTTTCATTTATTTTATATTACTCAATTGACTTAAGTTTACAATGTAAATAAGGAAGTATCCCCCATTTGGATTCAAATAAAAATACTAGAAAATCAAATTCCTACCAAATCAAAATATGAAAAATCGGTTTTAGTCCAAAATATGATTTAGGTTAAAAATGATGGCTCGTTAAGTCAATATATACTTCATAATAAATCTCATAAAATCAAGTTTTCTTATTTGATGTGTAAGGAGTAAAAGCCGCTAAAAATTATCTTGAGAAAATGATTATTCCGAATATTTTTACATAAAACCATTTTCATGTATGATATGAATGCATGAAGTGACCTAAGGTCAATCTAAGTAAAAAACCTTAGATGTTCAATCCACAAAGAGTTTTTAGCATTTCAAAATTGCACCCCCACTAAAAAATTTATGGGTCCGCTAATGTCTATGACCATATAGAAATGAATATTGTATGCCATTTCAAAATTGTTTTCATAAAATGTATTTAAATAGATATCATGACAAAGTCTTGGGTTCAAGTCTTAGCATCCATGCAGTGTGTGTGAGTTTAATATACTATCTCTCATCTCAATAGGAAAGGTCTTCCAAAAAAAAAAAGATATCATGACAATTCCTTTTAATAACATCTTTTTGCAAACTTAACTGTTTATTTGTTCAATATACCATTACTTTTATGGATACACAGTCTATTAACTGTTTATTGTTTGAAAATAGACCATTACTTTTATGGATATACAATCTATTAATTGTTTATTCTTTGAAAATAGACCATTAATTACTATTTTATTTCCACTTTCACTTGGTAAATAGAAATATTAGGGGAAACTAAAATGATTAAGATTAGATAGAAAGTGTGTTATAGTCTGAATGTTTAATGTATGCATATTCCTATCTCCATCTTGTTTCTTCCCACGGATCATGTTCTTATCCCTTTTGAGGGTTTTTTTAGTGCAACAAATGTGGATATGGGTGGTCTACTTCCATCAATCAACATAATAGTGGATATCATTTAAACGCTACAATTCAATGATTTTCATGACAAATCATTTTAAATATGAATCTTTGAGTGTTTAGGATGTCATATCGTATTGGGGCGTATCTGATACGAGCATACCCCCAATTTTTGGTGTATGGGTGCAACAGAGGCAGTTTCTTTGCTTGTTAATCGTATGTTTTAAACAATGAAAGTCTATACCTTTTGTGGTCAATTTTGCTGGACTTATTGTTTATTCTAAATGATGTGATATTTCTCTGTTTGGTATTTTGTATTGCACTTGCTGTGCTTATATGATCTCACACATCTTGGCAAAAACACTCATTTGTGTTTCATAAAGTTGCAAAACATGTGATAAATACGATTTTTCTTGGGTTTGAAATGTAGTTTTAGTAGTCATGTTCTTGTCATTTGAATGTTCTTTTCTCTTCATTGCCTTACGGCACCAGTCAATCCACTAGCACTTGTCATAGTCATTGCCTTTATGCACCCGTTGTCCTGTCCTAAATTTCTTAGATGTTGAAACTTTCAGATATGGAGGAAGAGAAATTCATTAAGTATGTGAGAGGGAAGCACGCTAAAATTAATTCAAGAAATCTGATAAACTATTCCTCAAGTTGCACTTTCACGTTGGCTAGGCTGAGAAAAGAAGCTTCGAAAGGGCTGGTTCTGTTGTTTAGCAAGTTATTATGGGGGTAAGAACGCATATTATCTATAGGTGTTGCTGCGTTTCAAGTGTATCATGGGGTTGTAATTTCACATAATTTCATTGTATTTTGCATTTCAAGCAGAAACTTATGTAATATATTCAAACTAATGTGGCATAATTCATTGCATAAATTCAGCAATAACGACTGGAATAGTCAATACATAAAACCTACGGCAAACTTTCTATTTAGCACACTCGACGTAACCAAAAGACATTGTCAATCCCAAAGAAGTCTGAGCACAAAACATCAAAAATCAAAGAAGTGTGCTTGCCACAATTCAAATTGATGTAATTAAGCAGGAAGAGTGAGAGTATTTTTCATATTTTTCCTTCCATCTTATTTCTTGTTCTTGGCCATTGGGATTTCCATTTCCCTGTAATTTATAGCAAAGGTAGAAAGTTTATCAGATCAAAATTTGTGTTCCATTGTAATGGGCAGATGTACATTGTGATTACACGCATTGCACTTGCACTGTTGACAAGCCTTTTCCTACATGGTGGCATTTGCTAAATGCAATGACAGATGAGAATATTGTCATCTTTGAAAGCCTTAGTATAACTTCAACTTCAACCTCTTGTTTATACCCCTTTCAAACAGTTGTAACTCTCATGATGATTCTCTTCTTGATCGACGGAATATAACATTAGAAAAACAGGATATAAATTAAAATAGGGGAAAATGACAAAACAAACCCTATATAAAGATGCAAGACCCTTAAAAAACTCCGAGGCAAGTCATACGCCCATATACATTGTATTCTAATGGTGTGTTTACTAATTAGGAATTGGAATTCTCATCAAAAATTGAATTTCACATATAGAGGATTTATGCGTTTACTTCACATCGAGGAATTAAAAAGTAAGCCTACACAAAATTAGGAATTGAATCCTGATTTGGAAGAATTCAATTGTTGGATGGGAGGTAGTATTCTAATTCCTAGAGAACCAACTCATTAGTAATTCACCTTTTTTACCCATTATATCTTCACACAATTTTAAAATTTTAAAATTTGCCATATACTTTAACCCAACAACGATGACATTTTAGTAATTAGTACCACTCCTACCCTAATTCCATATGGTTTAGTAAACAATTTCAATAGGAATCTATAATCTAACTCTCCTCAATCCATATGGTTTAGTAAACAACTTTAACAAGAATCCAGAATCAAAATTTTCTCAATCCAACTCATCCTCAATTCAATTCCTCATAATCTAATTACGGATTAATAAACATACCATAAAGTCTAATAATAATGACAAGGGCAGCTTTTTCAAGGGCCAAGTTTGAATAACATTTTATTTTTGTAGCAAAGTCATAATCCATGAGTAGTGGCGGATTTATGAATTTTTCGAGGGAAGGGCAATAATGATTTTGGTACTGCCCAAGAACTGAAAAAAAAAACATATTATGAAATGAACCAGACCCTAAGATAATTTTAGAGTTTATTAGCACGATAAAATCAATACAAAAATAATAATAAAAACATATTATTACAGTAAAAAGATTAGATCAACAAACAAGTTGTGTCAATCAAGTCCTAATGAAACAAAAACTCTAATATTCAAATTGTGATGTGAGAGCATTGTGCAAGGATTCTTCTTCTTTGTTTTTTTTTTGGACAGATGGGCTTCTTCAAATTGGGAGCATAAGCCTTTTGGTATTACATTATTAGAGCATCCACAATGGGCTCTCTAAATCACATCTTTAGACGAATTTTAGGGAGGAATTGGAAAAATACAACTCTAACCATGCTCCATATTCACCTCCTAAAATAGGGAGACCTCTAGGAGCTCCTAAATCTGAGGAGAGAGAAAGGAATCTTAGTGCTCCCTATAATTTAATGTTGCTTTATTTAATGAGTATTTCAAACCTTTAATTAATGCTAATGAATTTTTATATTATTTTTTAATAGAAATGGACAAATTAAAAAAGAAGTATAACATTTATGACTTCCTAAACTAGAGAGCATGATTGAAGTTTAAATTTTATAGAGAGCTCCTAAAATAACTTTTATATGTTTTTAGCTAAAATTTAACTAAAAAAATAGAGAGCATGATTATGAATGCTCTTATAATGAAATATTTATTATAACAACCAAGTAATTGAAGCAAAATAATGAATCTTGAAACTGCTGTTATCTAGGTTGCACCAAAACCGAAGAGTTTGGTTTTTAGAAAAAAAAACTTCATTGAAACATGCATTTCATTAAACATAAACAAAGGATGAGGACGACGTCGT